ATTTAACTTCAATCATAAATATAACTTTTGCAAGTTTTATTTGTAAATTAATGTTGAATTAATATTATTTTTTATTTGTATTATTATTTGCATATAAACGTTTTTTTCTAAAATATTATTAAATTTAACCATTTGTTTCAATCTAAAATATCTTAATATATCAAATAAATTTTCCATGAATTTAAAGTTAATTTTTAAATTTTTTAAATAATTGTAGCAACCTCGTTCCTAGGTTATAATTGTATTTTATACAAAATATTCCTAGTTCTGAACTGTAGGTACATAAATTTTATATATGTTATTTCTAGAAATAGACGTATTATTGAAATATAAGAATAAACCATGTTTCGAATATAAAATATCAAGAGTTTTTTATTTTTTCTAAATTAACTGAGAAGCAGTTTCAACGTGCGAAAAGCACGGAGATTAATTTTTCTAAGCTGCCGACGAGGGGCAAAGGTCAAATGATTTTCCACGCCGGCAGAGAATTCGAGACGAGGCTCTCGCGAGGTACCTCTGTGTATTTTAATTAAAGTAAGCGGAGGATAGAGAGGCGAGCGCGAGCAAGATAATGAAAAATTCGAGTCTTGCAGGCGCGGCTGCCGACGTGTTTTGTTACGAGCCCCTGCGGAACATTAACTTATGCAAAGTGCTCGGCGGGCGAGCCCTGCCGGTTGCCTACCTCCCACTAGCCGATTATGAGCGTTTTTTGTCAAAAGAAGATTCATTTTTTTTGTATCCAGGCCGTATTAAAGAAAAACAACAAGTCGACGTTTGATCTCTGCGGAAAGTGTAGCCTCGGGCGAACTGGGTTTGTTATTTTATATATTTTTTTTTTAGTTTGGCCTCGATCTGAGCTCGGGAGATGAAAAAGATGAATTTGAATTCAGGTGCTGTCAAATTTGATTTATACATTATTGCGCGAGTTATAAAGTTGGCCGGGGCGAGCAGCTGCCGGTGTGGCAAGTGTCGCACTGCATTAGTTCCGCTGGGCCTGATGTGTCTGCTGTCATATCATGCGGTACACCTGCTATTCAGCCCCCACACTAATGGAGGCCACACCGATTTTTGCGCTGGCCGGGCAACTTCTGCGCGCACGGAAAATTTGTCACCAAACCAGTCAGCCGGTGGGTGGGAAGAGCTCTTTTCCATCTCAATTAGTCGTTTCTGACCAAGGCTTTCCGCCGATAAATGGCACACCCTCGTTACTCTGCCCCCATCAAAACGTCAACATTGTTATGAGAATAGCATTTTACGTGAAAAAAGTAGCATTTGGTTTATGAAAAAATATCCAACATAAGTGGAGGGCCTTTATTTGATTTCGTTGAGGGAAATCTTAAAAAAAAAGATTGCGAAAAAAATCGATCACTCCATTGTATGAAAGGAGGATCGCTTGGAATCATTTTGCAGTCACGGAAAAAATTAAATTCTAAACTTCCTGGAAGCTGAGAATTATTAAGTTAATTATTAATTGACAGAAAAAAATTATAAATTTATTATAATAAAACAGCTTATTATTACTTAAAAACACACACAATTTTGGTTAAGTTTATCAAATTAAATTTTTGTTTATTTTTATGAATTAATTGGCAATATTTTGTTACTTTTCTTAAAAGGTTATAACATTTTTTCAATATATAATATCACTTATCTACAATAATATATAAGTTTTGAATTAAAATTTCCTTTCTGGTAGTATTTAAATTTTCTCTAAATTTTATTGGTCATTATCTCCATCTACATTCATATAATATTTTGAAAATGTCCAGCTCTCTGTTGTCAGCTTTAATAATTATTTTTCCGGCTCAACGCAGCAAAATTCGATAACTGGCACAACGGCCGCGCCCAGAATACAAATTACCGGCAAATCTCTCACTCTCCGCCGGCCGGCAGACAACAGGGGAACAGCCAAATAAATTGTTTTTATCTCGAGATAGGCGTGTCTGCCAACCCTTTTGTTTGCTTTTTAATTGTTGCTCGTGCCGGGCAGTTTGAACGACTGGAGAACTTTTCTTCTTGTTTTTTTTTCGACCGCCGCCAATACAGACGAGCCAGGAAAAAACCATGAGCGGGTCCAAAAGGCGCTCACGCTGGTGAGAGAGAAATATATATTTCCCTCCGACTGCCGCTCTACGTGTAAGGGATACATATGGGGCGCGCACCCTTCCGACTCTCCACCCTTTTCACTGCTTTCCAGCCACCCATACGTTTTTTACGTGTTGCGAATCCACCGACCTGCCCGCTATGCTCAATGGCGCAATGAAATTCGAGTATATCATTAACTGCGGTCAACCACCAAATCTCCCCTGCGTTGCAAATATCGCCATTCAGGCACACGCTTCTTTTTCCAAAGGCGCGAGGGAAAGCTTGCATGGCTTTTTATTTAATGCGGACCTGATTGCATAAATCACAGACAAAGATTTTGAAGAAAAATATCATTTTTTTTTTTTAAATTTACCATTGTTGATTAATTTTTTTGTAAAAATTTAATTTTCAATGACAAGAAAACCAACAATTACAGCATGAATACATCTGCAATTCCTCTACTTTTGTATTTGATTAATTAATTTTTTAGTTCACTTCTAAATTGTAAAATTGATAATATACGCTCTTTAAAAAATTATATTGAAAAATATATAAACAGTGTTTCTAGATCTGGCATTAGGAGGATAAAATAAACCAAGAGTTAAAAATTATTTGAATTTTAATTAAGTTCTGCAACATCAGTAGTAAAAAAATTTCAAAAAACGTCTTTCTGCATTAAAAGTATAAAACGTCTCGTGTCTTATATAATAAAGGAACTTTTCCGGCTTTCAAAACTTTATATTTGCCCATGCATGCTATGAAAATAATGAATTATAAATAAATAAATAAATTTTGTTTAAAATTTCAATTGTTTTTATTAAATATTGAAAAATGTCGTTTTTTTAGTTAACACATTGAATCCTTGTACAAAGTAGTTCCAACGGAGCAAGATTTGTGCTTAAATTTTAACATTAAAAGCAGTGTGCCTTGCTTGACTTATCAAGTATTTTATGTGTTCCGATTATAAACTTGCATAATTTATTATCAGAACGTTATATGTCCGCCAAGGATTCATTATTAAAATGATTATTTACAAACGTATAAAAAAATAATCTAAAAAATCTTTTGAAGGAATAACTTCTCGTTAAAGTTTTATAAAGTATCTTTCACTGCCCCACTCTCTGGTCAAAATCAAAGCTTGTGTTGTGCCCGGGGTGGACTCTTCTTTTCCCTTCCAAATCCTTCCCACGCACTTAAATCCTCCGCCACATTGAAAGGGAGACTTTGCGCGATATCATTCAAATTGAGAAGTAGCCTCTCCGTTTCGCACAAAGGATCCGCCGTGCGAATAAATTCTGATCAGTCCTTTGATATAAAATAATAGCCGGTTCGAAAGGCCGCCTTAGAGGGACCGCAGATAAATCCATCGTTCCTTTCAGATGAAGAGATTTTCCAGAAGAATGTAGAATTAATGCCGACGGCAAATCTTGAAAAATAAATAATTGTCTCGCAAACAATGCGAATTTGCAGGCCGAGAGGAACCTCAAATTTGATTGGGTCTGATTTGGGTATTGAAATATTCATGGTGGGTTGCGGGGAGGTTCCTTCTGTCTTGGCGTTATTTGATCAGTGAGTGGCACATGCAAATGTGCTGACGGTGGCGGCGTCTTTTCTTCTTCCACCTCTCCGTTTCCATCACATTTACACGTTTTTCGATCAGATTTTTCTCTCACCTGCCCCATATTGTAACACCGCTCGGGCTTTTCCGGCCACATAAAAATTTGAATAATGATTTCCTGATACGGTCAGTTCAGATTTATCACCTCGCAGTTCAGCATTCTTTTATTTCATGTCGGTATCAATCCAGATTTGAATCAATTCATTTTATACTTAAACAATAATATATTATCGATTCTGAAGTAATTTTTTTATTTGCAGTTTCTGTCATTAAAAAGATAAAATTTGAAATATCTGTTTTCAAAATCTAAAATAAATTTCAATTGATTTTCGTTTTCCCGAGAAAAATGAAATCAAAGGAAATTATTCGAATAACAGTTAAACCAAACCAGAAATAAAAAATTTAGTGTTAATTTTCAAAGTAAAATCAAGTTGTATTGACAATTGAAACATCTTTCAAATACCAATAAATTTGGATTAATTAGCCCTGCAAACTCATTTAACAGAATTTTAAGTCAACCGCCCCACGCATGTGAATATATATAAAATTGTCTTCTGTATAATCAATTTCTCGTTTAATTACAAAAAACGATTATCAAATTATATTTTGATGATATTAAGGTTAAGTCTATTATTTTTATTAGACCAGTTTTTCTTTTAGAAATTTTTTGGTAATTTATTAAACACCAAAACCATTGGAGAATATTTTTATTGCAAAAAAATTATCCTAAGTTTCTAAACAAAATCCCCTCCCTGTTCCCCAGCACCGTAATATTTCACTCCGCCGTTTATTAGACGTGCCGTGAAAAATCGGGCAGAAAACGTGCCGGCTCGAAACAATAACAAAAAGTGAATTATTTTTAGCAGCAGCGGCAGGAAATTACTTTGGAAGTCACTTGGCAGCCGAGTTTGTTTTTATTGTTGCGCTACCCTCTGCTGCAGGTCCCTCTTTTTCCATGTATGTCGTTCAGACTGCATATATTATTATTTAAAAGTTTGCGACGAGTGTCAAGCAAGAAAGTTGCACAGGAAAGAAAAATAATCCAAAGTTTTTCGGAGAGTGAGTGTGAATTTTCACTTGTTACTGTCGCTGCCTGCTGATGATGTCGGCCGAACACGCACACTCGAAATTTATTCCACGGCGCTGATTTCTCTCTCGGGCTCATTTTCCCTCTACTACTTTTGTTTATTGATTCCCATTCTCTCTTTCTCTTTCAGCCGTCGAATATATATTTATGTATATAAATGTGTTTTCATCGACGACTGCTTTCATTATTTTTTATCTTCTTGTGTTGCAGGCACCGACTTGAATGTCTTCCCCTTCGTGCAATATGTATCACGTGAGTATCAATTTTCAATCTTAATCGATCGCGTCTCGCTAATGGAAGATTATTTTGAATGCCTCAAGATTTCATTAATGGCTTCAGCTACTTTTCAAAAGACTTGTGTTTTGGTATTACCCAGTCTTGCCTTTAGTTTTAATTTTTAAAGTTGTTTGTCAATTTTTTTTTTATTATAATAATAAAAATTCTTTTGGCTCTGTAAAATTTTCATAATCTACTATTACTCATTATTATTTATTTTTTATTAATTAATTATTAATTTAAATAATATTATTATTAATTTTTAAATCATTTAAAGCAGTATAAATTCTTCAATGGCACCTAAAGAAATATCTGCATTTACATTAGATTTAATATTTGTTTACGTCATATAATGACCATTCTTGTCAAAACAGGATAGGAGGTTGTTCATACTGTCCGATGGTTAGCTATTTTATTGTATTCTGGCCGATTCCATATTCAATGATAATATTATTGAAAGTAAAATGACATAAATATACATATTATATGCACTAAATATTAATATTTATATTACGTTAAATGAGATCATGCAGAAAAAAATTTACTGAGGATTACATATATGCTTGGCGACTGGCTATAGACTGTTATGAATCATGAATAAAGATTAATTCAGGGTTTTTGTTAGGAATGCATTAAAATAAACTATTTTTTCAGCAAGTTGATGATAATCTATATTTTTTAACGTTTGAATTTGTAATGAAATTGAAATATTAAGATTCACAAAACTTTTCATTTATTTCTTGTAAAATTTAGTTTAAAAGACTAATTTTGTTTTTAATTTGATGGCATTTTGAGCTATGATGGTATAAAAAACCATGACTATTCATCGATGGATATAATTTCCAAGTAAATAATATAAACAATTAAATTTCAAAGCTCTAGAAATGGAAAATATAAATGGAAAGGAATGGGAAAATATGCGATCACTTTTTCACTTAATTCTTTGTCATAGATAATTACAAAAAAATGGACAAATTTAGCCCAGATATGCATATTATTAATTGAAATTGAGCTGCAAGTAATTTCTTAAATCACGCTTTTGATGAAAAATTAGCCCATTTTTTTCACCTTGCGCCTTTTTCATTTGCAAAATAACTATTTTCTTTCAAATTTCCACGTAAAATCACATATTTCCATGAAATAAAAAATCAATAATTATTGTTTCAAAGCCTAGATGTAGCTCTAGGATCACATAGATTTCAGTCTAGTAAGTCCGAGTCAGTCACGCTGGTGGGCTGCAGGTCACAACCTGAGGCACAGTGCTCGCGGCCCATTTGGCTTTAATTACAAGTTAATCGCCCGGGTGATTAATAACCCCCTTCATTTTTATAATGTGCTTCCCGTGCACGGGCATTTTAACATTAAACACGGCATGTCGGTGTGCCGAGCATTACAATAAATCTAGCCGGGGAGCCGAGTGTGTGGCACGGCTCGGAGCCTCCGCTTTGCTCTCACATCACATCATGTGTGTGTTTTGTGTATACGCGGATGGTCATTATGGGACACTTTGCGGTGCGAAAGTAGACTGAAATATGATTCTCGCATGAAATGCACGGCCAGACACGGAATTCCCCTGTAGAGAGACAAATGCATTTATTTGTTTTGTGGACATTCCTCGGAAAGCCGGCCACATTAATTTAATCGAAATGACCTCGTGAACACGCGCTGGTTTTAACCAACTACCGCGCGCTTTTTGTCACAGATAATCAACGCACACACAAGCAGATTCGTGAGGCGGATTAGATTTGAAAAATTACTCCACAAGCAGAACCTCTAATGATAAAACGAGCATAATAGTAAGAGCATTGTGTAGTACAAAGTTCGGTTGGAAAATTTACCAGAAAAATTAAAGCTTTTCAATTTTACCAAAGTTTTTTATTTAACTGTTTATTTTAGCTATTGTTAATAAAATAACTTTAACCTTATGAAAGGGCTTGCTGGTATGGTAAATTTTAATGAATCCTCATTATTTTTATTTAGTACCACAATTTGTCAGCAATGTGGAATTTTCTTCTGACAGTTTATGCATTCAACTTATGAAAGAAAATAATAATTAGAATAATTCACATGGTACTTATAGTCGCAATTTGATCTTATTTTTTCATTAAATTCAAATATTTCAAATTGTATATTAACATAATATATTAATTTCAATTAAGCCACAGGCTCTTGTTATTAATAACATATTTTATGTTTTCCATGTTCACAGTAGTTCTGCCAATTCGTGATTATTATTATAATCTTGTTTTATTGAACTTTAACTGTTTGATTTCATTATTGTGGCGTATAACGTAAAGCAATTCAAACAATTGAAATTAAATTTTTTTTATTATGTAAAAATATAGCATTTTCCTAAAATACCGTCATATTATATTAAATATAGCTCTTACTTTTTATAATTGTTTAAATTTTAAATATATTTATAATTTTTAGCGTTTCAAGAACATCTTTTTTCATAACGTGTCATGTCACCACAGAGATAATGCTAGAAACAATCTCGCAAGTCTTAATTAAATTTTTCCTCTAATTAAAAAAAAAAACAGCTTTAAAACTCCCAGAAAATTTAAAAGTTTCATTTTTTTTTATTCTTGACAACTGAAAGAATGAACTGACAAAAATAAAACCGAAATTTCCTTGCTAAATTCCACTTCTTTTGACTTCTTTTTGGTAAGGAATACGTTTTGCTGTAAGAAACAAAATACGCAACAGGATACTCGTCTCCGTTTCGCCATTCTCTTTAAAAATATATCTCGGAGCTGAATTTGGGAGCGGCAAAAAACGGGAAAAAGGGCTGTCTCATGTCCTTTGTCGCATCTCTCCATCAAAATTTAATCAAAGCCCGGCGGTAATTGCGCGCACCGCACAAAATAAAAGACAGGGCCCCATCGCCGCCGGGCTGCAAGCTTTTTTGGCGTATTATATTCTTTGCTTGCAACCCTTGACCAGGCATGTTTGGCTCGGGGCTCGGCCGTCGTCCGTCCGGCGCGCAAGGGCCATTCATATGCATTCATGCAATTCCACCGGCATTGTTGCTAAAACAAGCAACGGTAATTGCAGCCGGATGCCTTTTCTTTTGTGCCTTTTGCAAAACGCTGTCTCTGTGTCTCTCTCCCTCTCATGATGTCATTTACGAGGCAACCAACCCTTTCAGCAGCATGTGATCCAGTCGCACACGCCTTTTTAGCCAGGCCTCGTGACACGCTTTGCTCTCTCTCTCTGACTGAATTATTTCATTAACTAGAGCAGCTTTTTGCCAGCAACTTTTAAAACGCTTCAAACTTTCATTTTGCCGGCTGCGACTGTTAGTTAGTTGGACTCTTTCACGCTCTCTCTAATTCAGACTGCGATTTAAAGAGCAGTTGATGAACTAACTCCCGAAAAGTGCTTGAAAAAGTTCCACCTCTTTTGATGTATACAAGAAGTGTAGAAAAATGAGCATTCCACTTACATCAATCAATATCATTAATTTAGTTTGCTCCAGTAAGTAAAAAAGAAAAGAAAAAATCAGAACATTCCGTCTGATTTTAATCTCACACAGCTCAATGAACAAGAAAATGCATACATTTCATGGTTTCTTTGGAAAGGTTTACTTCGATTTATTTTAATAACTATTGTTGTTTATATAACAAAATTGCTGCAAAAACTATACTCGGAGAGAAAAAACGTTTAGGTTTAACTGAAGGGAAACAGTGAATTTTAGAAGAAAAAAAACAGCACAACCTTATTAAGCATTGTTAAGCATAGATTTTGCTAAACGTCCAAAAACGTCCTCGTCCACCGCAGGGAGCCTTTATCTAATAAAATAAATTATCAATTACAAAATAAAGTAGTTACATTCGGATTAACAGTAACTAAATTTAAACCTAGATAATATACTTTTATTAAAAAAATATTATATTGTTTACATTTTACTACCTTTCAAGAGATCCAGAGAAGCTGATCCAGTTTTTATTATGCAGCATGGTTTTGGCAAACAAAATTTTACATTTATCAACGAAATTGAACTGTATTCGACACCGTTTAATTAAATCTGCATTGGAAAATTATTGGATCGCTCTCATTATTATGGCACAACACAGAAATTCCATCTGCATGCCGATTGCGAGCGAATAAAATATCAGATTTATAATGCTTACCAAAATAGCGCCTGCCCCTTTGCTTTGTTGTGCGCAGTATCGCGCGTGGTTTAAAATGTTCGTAAATTTATGAATCTGATATACCTTTTTCGTCTCTTTTGTTCCTAGTGGGCGAATATAGAATAGAGTTTCACTAATGGAACACAATATGCGTCCTCTCCGAACAACAAAAATAGCTTTTAACGACGCCTCGGTTTTATTCAAATCGTTCGTTTTGCTCTTTTTGGCTGAGCTGCAAAATCTGTTTCTGAAAAGGGTCGGGTAGAATATTTTGTACTAATAATTGTAAAATTTATAGCAACATTACATCAATGTAAAATAGACATGAATAGAACGGTGACATAAATATTGACTCATTAATTTTCCAAATTACATTTTTTATTATGCAATTAAATAAGACAACTGACTACTTATATTAAAAAAAAAAATTGCATCTACGCTATTTGTCAACACATTTTTTTTTTTTTTTTATCAAATATTCATATAAAAAAATAATTAGAAATTTAATAAATTTATATAATATCGTGAAAAAGAGATTGTATTTTTTAATTGAATATGAATAAATAAATTTATTCAATGAAAATAATTTTTTGTTAAAAAATGCAAACTTTACTACAAATGGTTTGAAGTTATTCTCCATTTTGTCAATTCAAAACATTTCCTAATCTCATTTGAATTAAAATCACGAGGCCGATCCATTCAAAATTGTGGCATCAGACGCAAATTGAATTTCATCCCCTTCGTCTTTTCCAAGGGTGCTGATTAGCTCGAGATTATTGGTCATTGATAAGCGTCAATCTCCCGCCCTTCTTCCGCTTGAAAGGAAAGAAAGCGAGCGATCTCGTCTTCCTCGCCGCACTTTACCAGGAATAAAAAAAAGTCGCGACGAGTAGTGAAAAGGCAGAGGCGGCAAGAAACACAAAAATATATACAATCGACGCTTCTTCCATTCCCGACTCTCTCCACCCCGATCGCGACGGAAAAGATTTTTCCTTCTATTCGCGCCCACGTGCTAAATCCGTCCCCGGTTAAAAAAAAAACGAAAGAGATAGTCTGGCGCTCAAATTACACTCCCTGCACACTAAAATGGCCAAACACTGTAATATTATATTGGAATAATCGATCAATTGAACCTGTTGTCGCAGAGATAAAGACTGCAAAGAGCAAAATGGCAACAATGGCTGCGGCATGGCTGGGTCACTTCTTTGTGCGTCTCCCTTGTCACGTCGCTCATCGCCTCGGCACAAAAAAGCCGTGCTGACCTCACAATATGTACAACTCGACGATGAGTTTCATATCAACACTCACACAAAAGTCTTTCCTGCGTTCCTCTTGTAACAACTTTACAAGGGAAGTACGAAATATTCAAAACTAATTATTAAGGTGCACAAATGAAATTTTTTTTGTTTTTTATTTTACATTATTTTAGTAGCAATTAAAACTTACTTAAACAGAAAAGGTCTGAATGATTTAATATAGTAAAACTAATTAAAAAATAATGATGATTTAAAAATTTTGAATTATGTAATTAAATAATTTTTAATTGAATATTTTTTTAATTTGAGTACTTAAATTTGAAATTCGAATCCTTCAATAATATTAAAAAGATTATTTAATACGTAAATTAGAAAAAATTAGAAAAAAAGTGATTATTGACCGAAAAATTTGAGAAAAAATCCATAAAATTCTAAATAAAAAACGAGAATTTTTCACAAAAATGTCCAACACTACAATATTGTTTTAAACGAATTTAAATTTTAACTTTTGTTCGTTTACGTTTAGATATGAAAGTGAAACACTGCCCGGGCCAAATTATGAGTGTTGTTTATTTTCCGTGTCCGTTTTCGCTCTCTGCGGCTCACGCTGATGAAAGGAAGAGCGAGGCGCGCACACACAAAACATACACCGGCGTTTTTGATATTATCAAAAAAGGGGCCACCGCCGACGAGCGCTGCTGGGAATGACAAAAACGGCGAAAAATGCGGGCAAGACGGGCGCGTTCTTTTTGTCGTGTGGGTGTTGTTATGATTCCATATATCCTGCGAAGAGCGGCCGTCCATGCGAAATAATTACGCAAATTGCTTTACTGCATCACCGAGTCGTGGCCGTTTGTGCGCGGCGGCGCCGGCAAATAACAAAAAGCGTGTTTATTTAATTGCTAGAGAGAGAGCGAGGCATTCCGAGAGGCACATCAAAGAAGTGGCGCGCACCCATTTGCGAAATTGTTCTCTTGCTTATTCGCACCGGCAATAAAAAGCGATTTGCCCGGGGTTTTTGGAACGTGTTTACAAATATATGGTGGGGGTGAAAAGTCATTCCTCATGTTCACTGGCCGGCAGAAAAAGTCAAAACTATGTGATAACAACGCACTGACTTTTTTGTTTATCCTTTTCAATGGATCACTAATTAATTAATTTATATTGCGAACGCAGGACGTAGTGATTAATAACTCGGTTAATAAATTTACAATTCTTTTGATTACTCCGTAAACGGAAATCAAAATTCGTTACACCGTCTCCATAGTTTTAGTTTTACAATATAATTTTATTAAATGATTACGATTCATCAGCCTTTTTACAAGATAATTTTTTTTTTAAATTGCTTACAATTAAAGCAGCATGAAAGGAATAATTTTTAAAAGAAAATTTCTTCTTTTAAAAATTTGCATTTGCAAATAAAATTCAATTTAGGGTTTAATTGAAATGCTGAATTCAAAAGTAGATTACACAATAAAATCAATATAATTGCTTTTTATAATTAATTATAAAAATAAAAAAATAAAAAAATGTTTGCAACATTATTTATATACCTTAAAAGTTTTTAAAGCTTGAGCTTTATACAAAATCAAAAGTACAAACTTTAAAGTAGTAAGATATTTTTATTGCAATAAATGAGCATTTTTAAATATTTCTCTCCTTCAAATAACCTATATTTTAATTTTATAGTCTACATATTAATTAAATCAATAAATAAAACGCTATTCAAGGATATTAGATTTATCTAGGACCTCAAAAGCCCTCTAAAAGAATTACTTTGCAAGTACAGGGCGAACGTGTCCAATCGGTCGAAATTCTTTCCTCAACGGGATTATTAATTGATGGCTCTCGGGCGCACTCGAGTCGAACCAATAATCTGGAAAGGCCCTCGGGAGAGAGGAAGCGTATTGTTGCTATGGAGCCACTTAACATCTTGCTGCTTTCTCCCTCCAAGGAGGATGCATAAATATGCAAACTGCACTGCATGTTATGGCTTTCCAGTCTCAATATTGCAACATTTTTATAGGTCGTGCACTTAATGCACTTCTTGTAATGGAGTAGAGCAAAAAAGGCGGAACTTGATTGCTTGCACAGCAACGACTCTTGTGCTCCAAGAGAGAGACGCTTTTTGCAGCAAAAAATAAAGTAAATTGAAGGAAGCGCGACGGCATTTGCTGAGAGCAATGCGAGCCAGGAATCGCTTGATGAAACATTCAATCAGCCTGACTGCATCGCCTCAATTGAATTTGAATTGTTGTTGTAGTGATACTCGATGATATATTGTTGCGCTCGGTTGCAACAGGACGGAATGGAAATGGTGATTCAATATTTCCTATTCCTCTATAACAATGCAGGTTAAGAAACTAAAATTTCTTTTCTGTGTAGAGAGGGATTATCTTTGACAATATTGTCAAAGATCAAACCTTAAATTTGGAGCATTATAGAGATTGAGATTTGTCTGATCATAAATTATAAGTTTTTTTTTTATTTCCCTTGTATCATAATAAATATTTAAGTAATTAAAACAAATTGTTAGTAAAATGTTAGTGAAATATTGATTACATAGGCCAAATATAAATAATATTATAATATAGATTTTTTATATCAAATATTAAAATAAAATTTTTGCTTTTCTTTAATTAAATGTTTTAGATAAAATATGATTTTATACATTTAAACAGCTTTTACGCCTTTTGTCCAAAAACTTCACAAATATTCTGAATAATTGCATACAAATTTATTAAATAAAATAATTTTTATTAATTGACCATAAGCAGTAATCAATATGTTGAAATTTAACTAGAAATAGAAGTATGAAATTTTGGAGGACTCATGGAGGACTCTAAATTTGTAACATAATTTATCATGTCTTTTGCATAATTTTCAGTAGAACTCTACAGATGCAACATTTTTCTAAAAGGGAAAGATTTTTAAATGAAAAATTAAAGGAAACACACAAAGAAAAAAAAAACAAGAAATTCAGGTTGTAAAAAAATAATCTTTCACTTAGAATTGTTCAAAAACTAAAACAACTTTCAAGTTTAAAAATTTTTATTTGGAAGAGTTCAATTTTAAACATTTTTGATTATTTAGTATTAAATTGTTGTATATTTGTCCAAATTGTTACATCACTTTGTTTACGTTTGAAAATAAAGGAATTGTTGGACAAAACGTCACCACCAACAGCAAGAATTTTGCTAAAAGTTCTGAGATCAAAAAGACATCAACCGCCGCAGAAAGCCTTGGTTGCCTAGATTTTTGTTCTTATCTTATACTTTGGGAAATTTTGGTGGTTCATGCCATTTATATACAGTCGTACACACAGTAATATTCAAAATAGTGCTGAAAGTAAGCAAAATATGATGAAAATAATACATTTTTACATTAATTGGAACGTAAATATTGCGTTGCATTTAAAAATTTCAGATTGCGTATTATAATTTTTTCTGTAAATGATAAGATTAGTTTTTGAAGAAAACAATATTTTTTTGCAGACCCTGTGCACATCACCGTGCGGCCTCGCAATCAGCAGGTGAAAGCGGGTGGCGTCGCCTCATTGCTATGCAGAGCGGAGGGCGATCCGGCGCCGCAGGTCATGTGGCGGAAAAACAACAAGCGGCTGGTCGGGCCCCTGCCGGCCAGGTACCAGGTCATCGAGTTCCCGCCGCCAGGCGGAGGAGCCCTCCTCAGAATCGAGCCCGTCCGCGCCGGCAGGGACGAGGCCACCTACGAGTGCGTCGCCATGAACGACGTCGGCGACGCCGTCACCGCCGAAGCTGTCCTCTCCGTCTACGAATGTGAGTACAAAAATCTTTTTTTTTCTTCAAGCTTCTTCAGAACTAAACCCGAAAACCGTCGTCTCAACAATAGCGTGGCCAAAATATGCATAAAGCTTTAAAATGCTGGAACGCCGTTTTGGTTAAAAGCAGATTTCATAATTTTAAGAGCGAAGGACGAAAATGTGATTTGAAAACTGAAATAAATAAATCTTGGAAGCTAATTAATGAACAAAATGAATCCAATCTGAAGCTGTTGTTAATTGAAAATTCGGAATCCAGTGAAAAAATATTTTAAAGGTAATAATGATTCTTAAACACGGGTTGATTCATACATATTTTATTATTATTATTTAATTCAGATATTTCAAATGAATTAAATAATTTTTGTATCAAACATAGTCTTTGGAAGTCGGAAATGTTATTTCAATGGATATCTGAGAAATTGCAAATTTAAAGAAATTCAAAAATATTTTGTCATAATTAAAAGTTATATGTAGCAAATTTGGTGGCAATTAAGCAAAATCTCATTCAGTAGCAGGCATATTTTTTATGTAAATAAGAACAGCACAATTGAATTACTTGAATTTTAATGAAAATTAGTATTTGAAAGCATTTGAAAATGAAGTTGCTGGGCAGAGGAACAGTGACCCCGTACGAATGGTAGTCGTCAAGTGTTCCGGTTATAGCACTAGGAATGGAAGACATTGGTAATCACAAAAATAGCCCGTTTTTGCTTTTAGTGCCGAGTGCTCCGTGTTTTTCTAATAATGGTAAGAGGAGGAGCGCGCGCGAGTGATTAGAGAAAAGTGGACCCGAAGCTGCTCTCTTTCCTCTCGCAGCAGTGCAGGTAACTTGAGGAAATTATTCCCGGCGGAGCAGGTGGGTGTTTGCTGCTGGCTTCCATATTCCGGCACCATCATAGTCTGGGGATTTTACGAGTATTTTGCTCAACGCGCGCGCCGAATGAGAAGAGCTCGACTTGCGAGAGAGAAGAAGGCGTCGGAAAAAGATCCGAGAGAACAAAAAGCGAAAGATTGCAGGAAACTCTCGAGACACTTGGCCTTGAACTTTTGCTCCTTTGATGGCAAAAAATACTGAAAAATTGAAAAACCTACCTGACCTTTTGATTTTTATATATTTCCATTCTTACAATTTAAATCTTTTGTTGAAATCATTTCTGGATCTTAAGAACTGACAATTGTGAAAATTTTAATCATTTTTAATTTCAATTATTGAAGATTTTCAATCAATCTATTGCAAATATAAGAATTACTCAATCGGTGGGCCTTTTCAATTAAAACAATAAAAATAATTGGAAAAAATAGCTTTGAAGCTGCCTTGAACGAGACATGAAATTACGTTTGCCTAACAAAGGCCTTGAATTAGACACGCTCTCTGTTTACTTCTCGCCTCTCTGTCGGTTGCTTTTGTCGAGGGTGGAGGAAGGGTTATTTATTCCAACGTTTCAGCTTTAATTTGAAGCTGCCGCTGCCCTTAATCCACCTGCTGAAGAATTTTTAATTAAAGTATCAAATTGTTATGCAGCGCGAATTGAAACTTTGCTCTTTGGCTGAAGCTCCACCTCCTCCTTAATCGAAATAATTACACGCCTGCTTACTTTGATGCTAATGTTGCTCGCTAGCTTTCAACTCCATCAGTTATTTACACTTGAGACCGTCGACATTTTAAGTCTTACCTTATTTTGATTATTTGCAATTCCATCGATAAACTATAACAATTTCAAGCTCCATATCAATCTCAGGCTTGGTGCAGTTTCTATATTAAAGTTTAGATTATAACGTTAGGATAAATGTTTTTTTTCCATTTATGTTGATTGAAGTTTATATTATCTCTATAGACAGACATGAAGGAAACACTGCTTAAGTCTATTTTAAAAAGTTAGTACTTATGATATTAATTACTGCGAAAAAGATATTATTTTTTACTGACTAAATACACAAACGTTATAAAATGCAGTCAAAGTATATTGAGATATTAAGTTAATCTTATTCAAAATAAATAAATATATTTAATTACTTAAATACTTAAAACGTATTTAAATAAATAACAAAAATATTTTAAGAAAATTGAATTTAATAACGTTAATAATTGTTATTTATTTTTATTTTAATATTTAAAGAACTTATTATGTTTATTCAAAAGTTTGTAGCAAAAACCTTTAGACAATGTGCAATTCCGAGCATTATTACAAAGGGTAACTACCAGAATCAAGTTTGCGCAAATAAATTACAGCGGGGTAATTTAAGCGTGGCGGCGAAACAACTTAAGTGACACAGCAAAGCAGCAGACAGACTTCTTCCTCTCCGCCCAAAGTTTGCTCGGCTGCGTTTCACGGCTGAAGTGTGCGAGCGCGGCAAAGTTTAGTTTCGGTCCGGCCCAACCCTCGAGCGGGTGGGCGAGCGCCTCATTGTTTTTAATTAGGGTCGGTACAGTTCACGTGTGGTCAGAGACTTATGCAACCGGGCGAACGTCCGCGGCTCGCTTGATTGTCTGCCGACGCAGCTTTACAGCTAATAAACAAAGTTATTCCGCTTCATTAACCGAAAATTCCGGAATTATATCAGACGAGAAAACAAAGAAGGCAAAAAAAGAGGAATATGTTCGTGGGTGGTTTTTTTTTTTTTTTTTTTTGCAAGAAATATATAGTGACGCCGTGTTTATGGCGCGCATAACACAAACTCGGCGCAGCACCACACTTTTTGATGATGAGTAGGTTTATATACATACTAAAGAGAGAGCTGCTGGATGAAAAAAGGCCAACTTGAGTAGTTTGATTCCCGTCTGACCCATAAAACAAAGAAAGGTTTCCTGAAGCTTGCGTGTAATGTGCTGCGAGAAAGATGCTCCCCTTCGCCGCCACTCTCTTTTTCTCTCTCTCACCCGCCCGCGAAAAGCTTTTTACGTTAATGCGTCTTTTAGTATAATAAAGCAGATGAGTCGCTTTTTTCTATCACGTGTATTATTTTTGCACACCATAATAAAAATAAAAAACCTAGATTTGCGCTGCAACTGCTTCCCCTGCCGGTGCATTAAAACTCTTCCGGGATTTACGAGCTTGCATCCATAATTTAATTCTCGGCGGAGGAAAAAGAAAACGAGCTGCGCAGATCGAGAGAGAGCGAACTCTTTTTTTTGCATTCCGTAATGAGAAACAAATAACGAGAACTTTTCCGTTACCCACAAAGGCTTCCATATAAAGAGTCCTCGTGTCCAAATTGCATTAAAATTTCTTGCCTTTGATGTTTATCCACATTTTTTTTGCTTTCGAAAAAAAAACGCTATCAAATTGAAGCTCCTGAGAACTGTGATTTTTTTTTTTTTTTTTTTTTTGAAACGCAGACATGAATCTAGAAATTTTTCAGTAGAGTCAGGGGACAAATATAGGTTGTGTAAGGTGAAATCTGGTGAAATCTTTTAAATATTAACTAAATTTTATGCACTCGAGGAATAAATTTAATTTTTTATATCAAATTGCCGACTGGATAAAAGGTGAATAAATTTAATGTTATGGTGAAAATTAGGTTATTTACTGAATCAGTCAGAATTGATGATTTTTAATCTAACAGGTACTTTTAAATTTCAAAGAAGTTGTTAATTTTGGTTTTATTAGTACATTTTATACTAACAATTGCGATTGAACATATAGTCAAATTTATTGTTCCCAGAATCCATACAAAAGATATATTTGGAAGTAGCTAAATTATCAAACACGTTTTCAGAGCCAGGCCTAATTTTGCGCTCACAGACAAGTGACGACCCTTAATGAATAATAAATTAGGCGCTTAGCTGAACTTGAATGGGAACACCTGTGGCAAAAGGCTTGTTTTTGGATCTCAAAGTGCAAAGCTCCCATACTCGTAAATGCACAACCGCGAAAATGGAGAAATCACTCTCGCAAGATATGAGATTTTTGCGCAACACAATGCGATTTACATTTTGCTGGTGGACGATATAAAATACCGCCATCGGGAGATTTGCATTCATGACAAATTGATAAACATAAAATATTTTGATTTATTGACAAACCAAACTTGACGTCAAAGAGCCGCGAGCATCATTTACATTTTGACATATCATGGTTTTTTAAATACATATCAGCATAATTTGTTATTAGTCCACAATGGCATGCATAATAATTTGGAATCTGTCTGGCAAAATTAAAAGTTTTGAAGTAAAAACAAAATTTTTTGTCATACACTAAATTTGAAATTAAGTCAAAAGAATTGATGTATTTTTTTTTTTAAATATAAAAGTAGAATTTGAAAAGTGTTTTCTTTTTCTTTTTTACCATCCACAATGGCACCATTAAAGGTCAAAGTTTTAATTCAAAATTTCCCCGTTTGTGTTTTTCAGCAAGAGTCTCATAATATAGAGTATTATTTTTTTAAAGAATTATATAAATGAAATTTACTGCAAATTGTTGAATTTCAATAAAAAAAAAGAAATGCTTTAATCGGAATAAAATACAATTCACAAAGATCAATTTCCGTAACGAAATTATGTATTTCTCTAAAAAAAAACTTATTCACCCGAGTCTAAATCATGTTTTTTTTTCTAAATAATTTCCCGTTTCGGAATCAAATTCATTTCTCCGCTTGACAAAACTTGGGTGCAAACTTTACCCCGCAGCCGGAGAAGCACTCCAATTCCCAGGAAAGAAGGAAAAGCAATGGTAATTCAGTCTAATCTGCGATCAAATCAAGGCCCGCTTTCCTCAGATCAAAATCAACTTGCAGCTCGCAACTCTTTTGGGACTCTGGTGCCCGCCCACGGCCTCCATTCGTCAATTTCCATTAAAGCTCCCCGACCCACAGAGTTCATTTCGTCGTCTTGATTTCACTCTCTGATTTGTTTTACCGAGAACAGATTCTTCCTTAAACAGCTCGAGTCAGTTTAGGATGGTCTCGGAGGAATCATTTGCCTTGCCAGCTTTCACCAACTTGGCCAAAGTTTCATCGTCGAGGATGCTCTCAGCCTTAGCAAACTCTCGAGCTTGC